AGCTTTGTATGTGGGCTGCACGCATGCCAGGCGAGCTCTCTACCACTTGAGCCACATCCCCAGCCCCAGTTTAATTTTTAACCCTTTCAAAACTGTAGCATATACAGGCTAATGTTCTTCATCAACCTGGATGAGAATCTCAACCTACTCCAAGTAATTATATGATACTTGTGTACCATATCAAACAAAATTATGATAAGTAAGCTAGGTAATAATCTTTTTAAAAAATTTGTTTTTAGTTGTAGATGGATGGACACAATATCTTTGTTTTATTTATTTATTTTTCTAATGTGGTGCTGAGGATCGAACCCAGTGCCTCACACATGCAAGGCAAGCGCTCAACTACTGAGCTTACAGTCATGACCCCTAGGTAATATTCTTAAGAGTGCTACATTCACACTCACAAAATCATTTCAATTCTGAGATAAGTACTATTATTATTTCCATTTATAAAACAGAAGCATAGAGAAGTCACTTGTTCCCTGGTTAGTAGAGGCAGATTTGAACCCATATAGTCTTTATATCAGCATGAGCACTCTCAAACACAGATGAGGACTATTTTATCCATCATTTGCAACAATATTTTTGTGTTATATATTGGGACCCTCTTAAGGCAGTCTATAGTTGTTTGGGAAATAGAATTGTGGATTCCCAGGTTGGGATTGTGGCTCAGTAGTGGAGTGCTTGCCTAGCACGTGTGAGACACTGGGTTCGAGTCACAGCACCACATATAAATATCAATAACTAATACAAGTACTTTTAAAAAAAGAATTGAGGATTCCCCTTTCCAGAGAGGAATCCGAGTACCCAGAACCTAGCTTTCCCACCCAGGATAGCTTTCTTTTGCCAGTCCTGCCTCTCTGGGGCTGAGTTTACTGACTACTGTTTCCCTGACCTGGAATTACCACCCTGAATTATTGCTGTGTACCACACACAGGGCTAGGTACATTTACAATTTCTTTGTTGCTATCACCCAGCTAGGAAATATTATCTCCATCTGACAGACAAGTAAATTGAGGTTTAGGAAAGTAAGAATGACTTGCTTAGGAGCACACACTAGTGCTCCTGTCAAGGATTGGGAACCCAGATGTCCATCCCAGAGTCCACTGCTCTGTTAGTTCTGTAGTGACCTTGCACAGTTGGGAGCCAACTAAGTGAGGAGTCAGATTAGCTGTGACAAACTAATGAGAGTCACTCTCTTCGGCCCCACTATTTTTTTTTTTTTTTAGTATTTATTTTTTAGTTTTAGGTGGATACAATATCTTTATTTTTATATGGTGCTGAGGATCGAACCCAGTGCCTCACGCATGCTAGGCAAGCACTCTACCTCTGAGCTACAATCCCAGTCTCTCCACTTTTTTATCTGTGAAGAGGGTGTTTTTAAGTAGAAAGGACTCTTTTTTTGGAGAGTCCTAAGGCCTGCCTAAGTTTCTAGCGCCATTTTCTGCCTAAGCTGTTTTAGAGAACAGCGACCAGGTTCAGAGTTTGAGATAAAAAAGAGGGGTACCCTCAAGTCTGCTTGGGGAACATGAACATGATGGTAACAATGGGTCCCATTTACTGGGTCTAATTCACGTGCCAGACCCTGGGCTACACACACACACACACAGAGTCATACTGTAGCTTCTCTAGGGAGTTTTTAGAAGGGAGTTTTCTTAGATAGAGATCACTACATTCTGTCTTCTAATTGAGAGACAAGGAATTATTTCTATTAATTCCTTCAACAGTCATGGAAGTTCTATTCTCTGCAAGGCCCATGCTGAGCTTTAGAAATGATAGAAAAGACCAATGGAAGGTGTTAACAGCAAGAATGTCTAGGTGACAGGAATAGTGTTACTTTTTTCTTTTTCTTTCTTTCTTTCTTTTTTTTTTTAAAGAGCTGGGGACTTTATATGTTGCCCAGACTGGCCTTGAACTCTTGGGCTCAAGCCATTCTCTCGAATCAGTCTCCCAAGTAGCTGGGACTACAGGTACACACCATTATGCCTGGCTAAAGTGTTACTCTTTATTTCTTCCTTTCTGTATTTCCTAGTTTTCTAGAATGCACATATGTGGTTTTTAAAAAAAAAAAAAAAATCAGTGCCCTCCCTCCCCTCAAAGTATACAGTACTCTTTCTTCAATTTATTTACATTTCATGGTGTTGGGAATTGAACCTAGTGCATCTTAATCTTATCATTAAGGGAGGTGTTCTACCACTGACCTATAACTCCAGCCTTCTTTCTCCATTTAAAATATTATGTGCCTCAAAACTCCCATGCTGTGAAAAATACTAGCAAGGAAGTTGGGACTTTGCTAGAAGGTGCCCTCATAATTCAAGTGACAGCTAAATCTGCAGTCCCTTATAAGTGAAAAGATCAAGTGTCACAATACCCCACTTTCCTCCCCCTAAATCCCTGACCCCCAAGCAGTGCAGTACTGGGCCTTGATGTTTTAAGAAGTACGGGGGCATTCTGAGTGTCATAATTTCTGAGGATGTTACTGGCATGTAGTTAGCATGCCCAAGGGATGCTGGCACCCACACAACCAATGTCCCACCCAGAAATGCTAGTGGACTCCTATAGGTTGGCCATGTGGCCTTGGAGGTGTTTGAGTCGAAAATACTGCCTCTCTGGGCCATGACTCCTAGGCTGATCAGATCCAATTTCTGAAGAAGTTTGAGAACCAAAGCTAGAAAAAAATGAACTGAAATAATGGCGGCCAACAGAGGCCAAATCAGGAGTCTGGTAGAGTCACTGTGCAAGGAAGTATGTGTGATGCTTCTAAGGAACAATGACATGCCAGGGTCCTGTGATTTCCATGGGTTGCAAAGGGCATGACCAATGTCCCAAGGTATTGTGAGGCCCCACATGAACTCTCATCAGCTAGAAAGCAGAGAGGGATATACAAAAGAGCCTATAATTTTTTTTTACTATCTCATTAAATAGACAATAAGTGATATTTCTTTTATTTTACAATACTGGGGGCTGAACCCAGGGGGCGCTCTACCACCAAGCCTCATCCTTAGCCCTTTTTAGTTTTTATTTTGAGACAGGGTCTCATTAAGTTGCACAGGGTAGTCTGGAACTTGCAGTCCTCCTGCCTGAGCCCTCTGAGTCACCAGGATTACAGCAGGCGTGCACCACCATGTCTGGCTTAAATGAAAATTAATAGTTTAAAATTTTAAAGCATTTTAAACTATCTACTCTATTGATAGGTATTCTGTGTTCCTTTACTTTTCTCTTGAAATGGAAGATTTATTCTTCCAATGACTTATTTTGACACAGGTAACTTGCTCTCTAAGAGGAATGTTTTGTGGGATGTTTGCTGCCTTTTTAATTTTACTGCTCCAGGTGCCTAGATGATGACAATAAATGATTGGAGATTTGTATGTGCTGGATCTGAAATTCTTACAGTTACCTAAAAGTTGGACAGAAAGAAATAAATTTGTACATTTAATAATTTAATGTAAAAAGAACTTAAGATTATGGGAGTATTATGCCCCATGCATAGTACCTAGCTGAATGTTTTGTGCAATTTATAGTTACAATTAAAATAATTAAGGTTATAGGCTCAGAGAAGGAAAGCAATAGGCTCAAAGTCACACAGACAGATAGGACAAAGATGAAACTACAACTCTGGTCCTCTATCTTCTGAGATCAGTGCTCTTTCTACTTAGTTTCTTTCTATGACTGTCATCTCATAAAGCTATGGCCAGTGAAAAAACTGCAGAGTTGTTTAAAAAGTGAGAAGTGAGCCAGGCATGGCAATGTATACCTGTAATTCCAGCTATTTGGGAGGTTGAGGCAAAGTAGACTGAAAGTCTGAGGAACCAATATAGGACTCATTATCTGTCTGTCATTACAATAAGCTACTCCCAACATTACCCACCTCCACATCTGGACCCACCTCATTTCTACTGAGTCTTGGAACTTGTACATATAAATTAGAGATTGTATTATAAATAAGACATTTGGAAATAAACTTTTACCTTTTATTTTTAAATATACATCTCATGAAATTATATACATACACACACACACACACACACACAAACACACACTGGGGATTGAACTCGGGCACTCAACCACTGAGCCTCATCCCCAGCCCTATTTTGTATTTTATTTAGAGACAGAGTCTCACTGAGTTGCTTAGCGCCTCATGGTTGCTGAGGCTGGCTTTGAACTTGCTATCCTCCTGTCTCAGCCTCCTGAGCCACTGGGATTATAGGTGTGTACCACCGCACCTGGCTTCATGAAATTCTTTCATACTTTCTGCTACCTAATGAGTAACACTTTTCCCCCTTTTTTTAAATTTATTTTTTAGTTGTAGGTGAACACAATATCTTTATTTCATTTTTCTGTGGTGCTGGGAATTGAATCCAGTGCCTCATGCATGCTAGGTGAGCATTCTACCACTGAGCCCCAGTCCTAGCCCCACACATTTCCCCTTTTAAAAAATGCTTTTATAGGGCAATATAGTTATACATAACAGTGGTGTTTGTGATAGTGAGGTTCATGTATTATATGCATATTTATATATGCATATAACATAATTTGCTCCATTTCACTCTCTGGTATTTCCCCTTCTTTTTTTATATATTTATTTTTTTAGTTTTAGGTGGACACAATATCTTTTTTTTTTTTTTAAAGAGAGAGAGAAAATTTTAATATTTATTTTTTAGTTTTCGGCAGACACAACATCTTTTTTGTATGTGGTGCTGAGGATCGAACCCGGGTCGCATGCATGCCAGGCAAGCACGCTACCGCCTGAGCTACATCCCCAGCCCAACACACAATATCTTTTTATTTTATTTTTATGTGGTACTGAGGATCGAACCCAATGCCTCATGAATGGCAGGCCAGAGCGCTACCACTTGAGCCACAACCCCAGCCCCTATTTCCCCTTCTTTTCCTTCTCTCTCCTCCTGGTCCTCTTCCTCTGCTCTATGATCTTCCTTCTATTTATTAACTTTTTAAATTGATGTATTATAATTATACATAAAAGTGGGATTCATTGTGATAAAAATATGGACTGATTCAGGAATTTGTGTATCATCTTTGTGCAGGGCCATGCTAATCTTTTTTGGATCATTCCAGTTTTAGTATATGTGCTGTCAAAGTGAGCCCCAGATGTCTGGTCTTAATGTCCAGTTCTTGTTACTTTTTCAGTATCCTGGTCTTTCTGTCTGAAATCGGTGGGGTCTTTTTTTAGTATTTGGAATTCAGAAATCTCATTGGGATGTGTCTGGATGCTTATTTGTATTCACGGGAGTCCTTTGACTCTTCACATTCAAATGTCCGTCTTCATCTATTATTTTACTTTCCTTTAGGGAATCCTGTTATTTGCATGTCAGGTCTTCTGAATTGATCTTTCAACTTTGCATTTAATGGCATAATTTCTTTCTCTTTGTATTTCTGACATGTCATATAATCTTTTCCAGTATGTTCGTGTGTCTCATAAGTGACTTTGCCAACTACCAAGTACGTCAAGTTTAAGTAAAAATTCTGGCATTGAAGAAGTAACGACAGGATGAGTCGTGGACCAGCCAGGCCCATTAGGTTGATCTAGAGTTCAGACCATCTATCACCTGACCACCATAATCCCCTATTTTGATTGGTGGAACACAATGGTGTTTTGGGTCCCCAGAAATAAGCATAAACTTGGAGCCAATGTCTATTAATCCCTAAAAGGTCTAGATATTTCCTTTTCCCCCAGAGCATAGGCACCCTAGTAAATGGCCATTGGTCCCTTTGGGGAAGGTTTGGAGGAGGATTTATGAGGAGCACTTGCAGCAGTGGTACAGGATCCTTCCTCAAGGGGACTTCACTGTGTCTTCAATCAGGGCCTTGGGTCATTGACAACATGGATCTCAAAACTACTGAGAGGCTGTGACTCCACTGTGGCAACCCAAGCCAGGACTTTGGTTACCAAGTCTAGGCTTTCTTCACTGTATAGATCAGGCACCAGAGAAGCATTTGCAGAATGGTGGAATAGGATTCCAATAATCTTCTTCTTCATAAAAGCACTGTGAACCCTGGAGACAATGATCAGTGTCTCAATGTGAACCCTGGAGCAAAATCAGCTTTTTCAGAATCTGGAAATGAACCAAAGGCTAGCCATGATGCAAACCTTAGTTATTCAAGAAAAACATCTGTGTCTTCCTAGGAAGAATGAGCTTTGTGGTATTTTAACTTGCCCTATTCCCTCTCCCTAGGTCCACAATAAGAGCCTTATAGCTAAAGGACCTGTGAGAACCAATAGCCTGGCAGCCACTGGAGCAGGCAGAGCATGTTTGAAGCCCTATAAGAGCTCCATCCCCTGTGACATGCCACTATTTGACCTGCCTGGACCTTCTGAAAATATCTGTTCTCAGGGTTTGTCTTTATTTGACCTGACTCTGAACTTTCCCTTGCCTATAGCCATATCCCTGGGGCATTGGTTGAGAACACTCAGTGGTAATTGTAACATACAACTGCCTGAGGTGATGTACCAGTGGAGGGTAATAAGAGATTGACAAAAACAAGTGGGGTGGAGGGACTGGAGTATGAACTATCTATAGAGAGTTTTGAAAATGTATATATATATACCTTCCTGGGAATTGTTAGAAAGTTACCAGTGTGTATAGGGCTGTGAACATGCCAGGAAGGACCTAGAAAGACCCTAAACTCTCATCTCTACCTAACTTTAAGTTTCTGTGCAAGCAGTATGTGAAGGCTAGAGCAGTCTCATAAATTACCTGCTTAAGTGTTGAAAACATGACCAAACACACCCACACACACATTTAGAAAAGACTAGAAAAGACTAGGAGACTCATTGGTTGCGGCATTTTATATATATATTAGTTGTTGATGGACCATTATTTATTTATTTTATTTCATATCTAATGCTGAGAATCAAACCCCATGCCTCTCACATGCTAAGCAAGTGCTCTAACCCTGAGCCACAACCCCAGCCCCTCTTTTAAAGATTTTAAAATGACAACTGCAGCTAGGTGTGGTGGTGCACATCTGTAATCCAGGGGCTCAGGAGGCTGATGCAGGAGGATCAAAAGTCCAAAGCCAGCCTCAGCAACCTAGTGAGGCCCTAAGCAACTTAGCAAGAACCTGTTTCAAAATTTAAAAACAAAAAAAAAGATAATTGCAGTGGGCTGGGGATATGGCTCAGTGGCAGAGCACTTGCCTAATATGCAGAAGGCCAAGTTCCATTCCCAGCACCACACACACATACACACACACACACACACACACACACACACATACACACAACACAAACACACACCACACACACAAAGACAACTGTGGAAAGCAATACAGATGCTCTTCAACTTTTGATGGGGATAGGGCTATGTTCTGTGAAATCTATTATAAATTGAAAATAGCTTGAGTCACAAATACCTTTAAGTTTATTATTTTTTTATTTTGTAGTTGTAGATGAACAGAATGCCTTTATTTTATTTATTTTTATGTGGTGCTGAGGATTGAACCCAGTGCCTCATGTGTGCTAGGAAAGAACTCTTGTGCTGAGCTACAGCCCTAGCCTCCTTTTAAAAAAAAATTTTTTTTTTTCAGGGCTGGGGATAAAACTCAGGGCCTTGCCCATGCTAAACAAGTGCTGCACCAATGAGCTACATCCTCAGCTGGAGAAATGCCTTTAATACATTTAGTTTACTAAACATCATATATTAGAGACACAGTCACATCTGTGATTGAGTGGCTAACAGGGAGCTATACCACATCATAAGAGAGTATCATACCACATAGTGTTAGCCTGGGAAAAGACTAAATAGTTTTTACTCAGTGCATATCACCTTTGCAACATTTTAAAGTAAAAAAAAAATCACAAGTCAAACCATCATAAGTGGAGAACCATTTGTAATTGTAAAAATTTATCTGTTTATGGACTTATATTACCTTGTATTAGAAAGAGGGAACAGAGTTTTATAAAAGCAAAGTTTTTATGTATTATTGAAATGAAGTTGGTTTAAACGTGACCTAGATTGCTTCAAGTTAACTATAATCCTTGGGGGATCATTAAGAAAGTAATTCAGCTGGGCATGGTGGTGCACAGTTGTAATCCCAGCAATTTGGGAGGCTGAGACAATTTCAAGGCCAGCCAAGGTAACTTGGTGAGACCCTGTAGTCAAAATAAAAAACTAAAAGGGCTGGGTATGTAGCTCAGTGATAGAGGCCCTGGATTTAACCCCTGCTACCACAAAAATGAGAAGAAAAGAATTCAAAAGAATAAAGGGAAAGAAACAACAAGGGAATTAAAACAAAATGCTAGGGCTGGGGATGTGGCTCAAGCAGTAGCGTGCTTGCCTGGCATGCGTGCGGCTGGGTTTGATCCTCAGCACCACATACAAACAAAGATGTTGTGTCTGCCGAGAACTAAAAAAATATATATATATATATTAAAAAAATTCTCTCTCTCTCTCTCTCTAAAAAAAAATGCTAGAAAATATGTAATACAGAAAGCAATATGGAAGAATATAGGAACAAAAAGTAGAACACATATTGAATAGCACAATGACAAATGTAAATCATATCTTATTAGTAATTAGGTTATTTAGTGATTTTAATTAGGTTAATGTAAAGAACACTCCAGTCAAAAGACAGAAGGTTCCATGAGCAACATTGTGTACACCTGTAATTCTAGCAACTTGGGAGGGTAAGGCAGGAGGATTGCAAGTTCAAGGCCAGCCTCAGCTATTTAGCAAGACCTTGTATCAGAATAAAAAATTAAAACAAGGGGCTGGGATGTAGCTTGGTGGCAAAGCGTCTGCCTCACATTTGCATAGCCCTGAGTTGGATCCCCAGTTTCAAAAAAAAAAAAAAAGAAAAGAAAAAAAATTAAATGGGCTGGGATATAGCTCAGTGATGGAGTGCCCCTGGGTTCAATCCCTAGTACCATAAAGGGCAGGGAGAACAAAAGGAGATGGGGGTGTGGCTCAGTGGTAGAGAGCACTTGCCTAACATAGTGAGACCTGGGTTTGAGTCTCATCACTAAAAACAAAAGCAGAATAGTTTTTTAAAAAGATTCACTTATGTACTCTAGAATATAAATAGGGCAAACAGATTGTAAGAAAAAGGATGAAACAAGAAGCCAATATATGCCATGTAAAAGTCACCATAAGGAGATATGGAATGACTATACTAATATCACACAAAGCAGAATTTAAGACAAAACTTTTTTCTCAAGACAGGACATTTTATTTATTTTTTAATATTTATTTTTTGTTTTAGGTGGACACAATATCTTTATTTTATTTTTATGTGGGGTTGAGAATCAAACCCAGTGCCTCACACATGCTAGGCGAACGCGCTACCACTTGAACCACATCCTCAGCCCCAAGATGGGATATTTTATAATGATAACAGAGTCAATTATGTCAGGAATACATAATTATAAACATATATGCACCTAATGAGCAAGCCCCCAAATCAATATAAAACAAAAATTGACATAACTAGCCAAGCATGATGGTGCATGCCTGTAATCCCAGCAGCTCAGGAGGCTGCGGTAGGAGGATATCAAGTTTAAAGCCAGCCTCAGCAACCACAAGGTGCTAAGTAACTCAGTGAGACCCTGTCTCTAAATAAAATACAAAATAGGCCTGGGGATGTGGCTCAGTGGTCGAGGGCCCCTGAGTTCAATTCCAGGTAACCAACAACAACAACAACAACAAAACCTAAAGGGAGAGAGAGGCAATGCTACAATAATAGCTGAAGACTTCAATACTAGACTTTTGAATAGTGGGTAGAAGATCAGCAAGGATATAGATCAAGCAATATTGGAGTTCATTCCATCTATTTCATATCTAGGGACACTGTGATCAATTAGTTACCAAGACCACCTCAAGCTAAGAAATAAGATTGCCTGGTGGTCTCTGCTGCCCTTACAGTTGATATATCCATCTTGTTGGGATCCTCTCCATAACGACTGAGACATACTCACTGAGATCAGGATCTCTTCTGTCTCTCTCTTTTCCCGTCCCCTGCTCTCTCTCCAGTACTGAAAATTGAGCCCATGGAACTTTATCACTGAGCTATATCCCCAGTTCTTTTTTTTTTTTTTTTACATTTTAAAAATTTTGATTCAGGGTCTCTCTAAATTGCCATAGTTGACC